TGCGTGACGACGGCTTCTAGTCTACATTTTGTTACGGTGAATTGTCAAGAACGCATTTGTGCATGGGAAAAAATTAAATGAATACCAAAAGTGTATGCCTGAGTACAAATTATAATTACGCTAAATGCAAAATATCACAATATTTATATTTTAACTATTGCGCAAAGGCATCCGAACTAATAGTATGTGAGAAAAATATCCTGAAATATTTTCAAGTGATTAATAGAAAGTGATTTATTTAGAAGTGACTTGCACTGCACTGGTTTAACTTTTTTTTGCCAAAATACTAATAAAAATTTTGCCACGCTGGATACGCTGGGCTTTAAATATTTCCATCAACGGAAAATGGGAACAGGTAACTAGCTAATGCTCCGTCGCTGAAAATGTTACATAAAAGAGCCGTCGGCTTTGAAATTTTTCTTCTTTTTTTTTAAGTATATTTCAATAAAAGAATATTTACTTGAATTTGAAGCAAAAATTGTGTCTTAAAATCATTTATTGTGCTCGCTATGTTAACTTACTTCACAAAACCTCTCTGGATTTGCTTCAAAATTTATAATTTCATCAAAATATTTCCTGCGCATGGATAAACGTTGGCGGCATGCGTCGGCTAATTAGTCTTTTAAGTACTCGCTTTTTGGCGCTTACGTAAAACTTATTTTTTGTAATAATAGATTGGCGCTTACATATGTGCTAGTGTTTGGCCGAGCTTCTCCTCCGATTTGTGGCGTGCGCCTTGATGTTGTCACACAAAGGGGAGGGACCTACAGTTTTACGCCGAGTCGCCGAGGGGCGACGGCTTTTAAGAAAAAAACCTTTTTTCTATATTTTTTTTGTGATGTTGCTTTGAAAAGAGTTGCCACCTGTTGAACAATTAGATTCCAAATATTTAATAACGCTGGATCACAAATTTTAATTTGGTTTTTGTTTCTCCAGACGCCACTATCCAATTTCTATATAGAATTGCTCGGTGATTCCGAAATTCGGGCTAATTTTTTTTCCTATGGATACGTTTTCGAAATATTTGCAATTTACCGTTATTCAGCTTAAAGCAAAAAATTGGTTCCCTTAATCACGTATATCTTACGAAGCAATTTAAAAATCTTAATATAAAATACGGCAAATGAAAGCCTATGAAATTCTCCATGAACCGCATATATGTAAATCATGTTACTTAGGTGTACGCAGCTTATGAGTAACATTCTTTCGTGCTCAATTTCCATTCAAATAATCCTGCGCATTTTTATTTGACCACTCATTATTTCGTATTTATCCATCGCTTTTCTTCATCAGTAACTTGATTTTTTTTTTCGTAACAGAACAGGCTTTAGTACAAATGCAAAAATTTGGCACAGAACCTGTTATTTTTTAAATTTTTCTTCTGTTAAAGTTACATTTTTTCATTAAAAAATAAAAAAAAGCCGGAATGATTAATTAATTTGTCAGAAACTATAAGCCCTATCGGAAAGTGATGTATAGACGGTTTATGGAGGATTTCATTGGCTTTTATTTGCCGTACTTTATATTAAGATTTTTAAATTGGTTCGTAAGATATACAGTTTTGGCCAATACAATAGCACCCCCATTTCAAAGTGATATTGTTTGACACTCATGGTTATTTATTTATTTTTAAGGATTTTCAATTAAAATACAGTTCATTCTCTCACAAAACTCTCATAAACTCAAGTTTAAAACTTTTTAAAAGACCGCAAAAAAGTGCAACAAATTCTCACCCAAATTTCAAACTTTTTCCTCAGAAGCGGTAAAATTTTTTTGAGTACACAGTTTTTTAGCCCATTCAATTTTAGTCTAATAATGTGCAAGTTTCAAGTGGCTAAAAATTACCGTTGATTTTTTAGAATTGTTTTCGCCGAGGATGTTGCGGGTTTCTGCCATATAAAAATAAATTGTGTTTAATCGTTATATGAAAGCAAATGAGACAAAAAAAATTCTAAAAAATTAACGGTAATCTTTAGCGACTTGAAACTTGCACATTATTGGACTAAAATTTAATGCGCTATAAAACTGTGTACTCAAAAAAAATCTAGAGCTTCTGAGAAAAAAGTTTGAAATTTAACGGAAAGTTTGTTGCATTTTTTTGCGGTCTTTTAAAAAGTTTAAAACATGGGTTTATATGGGTTTTATTAGAGAATGAACTGTATTTTAATTGAAAATTCTTAAAAAGAAATAATTGAACTTAAGTGGCAAACAATATCGCTTTGAAAGGGGGGTGCTATAGATATGTCCAATACTGTACGTGATTTAAAGGAACAAATTTTTGCTTTAAGCTGAATAACGGTAAATTGCAAATATCTCGAAAACGTATCCATAGAAAAAAAAATAACTCGATTTTCGGAATTATCGAGTAATTCTACATTGGAATTGGATAGTGGCGTCTGGAGAACAATTTTGCTGTTAACCAGTGTAATCAATGCCCTCATATCCGTACCGTTCTTTTGATTTTCCAAAATAAGGTGTCAAATTAAAGAGTTTGGGCTGCAGATGCACAATAAGGTTTTACCTTTTTGAAAAGAGTTGCCACCCTTTAAAAAACTAGAATCAAATTATTTAAAAAAATTTATCTACTATTACAAATCGGGTATCAATCGAAATGGTTTTCAAAGGCTTTGTTTCTTAACTTAATTAAAGAAGGGTTGCCACTTGTTCAAAATTCAAATACAATTTGAATCAATAGAATTGGGTAAGGGAAATATGTATCATGTGATATGGGTGCCAAACCAAAGTAAAGGAGCTTCAGAAGGTAGTAGTTTGAAAATATTTTGAAGAGGGTTGTCACCTGCTTGAAATGTGGCGTTTAGTTACCTTATACACAAGTTATATGAAATATCACAATATGGATGTTAAATGAGAGAGTGTTAAGAAATATTTTGTTTGTATTGCAAGAATATTTTTGAGGTGTTGGAAGAGGGTAGCCATCTGTTTAAAAAGTTAAATTCAAATTATTTACTAAATTAAATGGATTTTTAAAATATGGGTTTCAATCGAAGAGGGTTTGAAAAATCTTTATATCTGAACTATATTTAGCGGGGTTGCCGCATGTTTAAAAAAAAACCAAATACAACTTAATTCATCAGTTATTTAAAAAATACTTAAATATGTATCGCAATGTCAGACGAAGGAGAGTTAACAAGGTTTTAGCTTGCAAATACTTTTGAGTAGGGCTGCCACCCGTTTGAAAGGTCCAATACAATAACTAATACAAATATTATACGGGAGTCAAACGAATGAATATTAAGAAATCTTTAGTTTGAACATTTGGAAAGTTTGAAGAGGGTGGTTTCCACGTGTTTAAAATGTTGCATTTAAATTATTCAATAAGTTGGATGAATTGTTAAAACTATTTATTTCTGACCTTTATTAAGGAGGGTTGCCACGTGTTTTAACAATCAAATTCGACTTAGTTCATCAATTTATTGAAATACAAGTATATCGCAATGTCAGACGAAAGAGGTTTTAGATGATTTTAGTTTGAAAATTCTTTTGAACAGTGTTGCCACCTGTTTGAAAACTCGAATTTAGTTTACTGATACACAAGTTTTATGCAATATTAAGACGTGGATGTCAATCGAAAGAGATTTATGACAGCATTAGTTTGAAAATATCTTTAATTAGGCTTACCCCCTTTTTGAAAAGTCATATCGATCTTACTAACCAGATCTTGTACCAGAAGCATTTTTTATGATAGTCACTAAATTTGCACCGTTCTTTCGAATGGGTGGTCAAATTAAAGACCTTAGCGAATAGTTTTATTTTTTTAATTAAGCACTCTTTTTTTTTATCGGTATAAAGTGATTTGAAATTTTATGAAATTAAAAACCTGCACTTTTCGAGACCTTTCTACACTCAGAAATTGCTGCACGGTTTTAGGTGAAATATGGCGCTCCGATCGCTTATAACTCTGACTACAATTTGGAATATTTTTTACGTTTTTTAAATTCAATTTTGGGCGTTTTAACGCCACGCGTGCTCACTAGTCCATTATAAATTTGCAAGGAATTTTAATTATCCTGGTACCCATATTAGGGTAATTTCGTATTGTTCAAAAATATTGGGCAGCTATCTCCTACATTCATCCACTACTTGAGATCTAACAGAGCTAGAAGAGAGTGCCTGAATGGCCGCTTCGTTATTCGAAAGGATGTTGAATTGCGTTTTCGCCGGTACATTTTTACTGTTTTATGTACCTTACTGCCTCCTTAATAGCAAACGTTTCGGCCTGGAACACGCTTGCATAGTCTGGTAGGCGAAAGAATAACTATAGGTTAGGGTTTGTGGTGAACCCAGGTTTTCGACTGGATATAATCAGTGGGCAGCATTTTAATTTCAGACGGTAGTTCGTCTAGGTTGGAACTGTGCCCGTTCGGTCTTTCCTTGCAGAACCCCAGAGTACGCAATCTGATGGCGCTGTTAGCAGCTGAGTTTTCGATAAAGATATCTATGGGTAATAAATAAGTCAAGAAGGACGTTGAAATCATCCTTCGGAGAGGAGCTCATTGCACTTGACTGTATGCACCTATCAAAGATATGGACGATTTGGGCATCTTAGTACAAATTCAGGTACTTACTTCATAATGAATCATAACATATTTTTTTAATCTGTTGTTTTGCTTTTTGATGGCGACTTATTCAACGGCGGCGTGTGAAATTCTTTATTCCCAGGACATGCTTAGATAAACATTCACTCATTCCGCATGCCTTCCTGCCGCATTCACAATATGTTAATTAAATGAAACAATATTTCCAAATGCATTTTGAAAAAAGAAACAAAGACATTCACACAATCACGCGAGTTTGCTGGGCAACTTACTGCTGCCAAAAATCTCAAAATAAAAATAACAAAAACATTTTAAAATAAACTTTAAAATATTAAAATAATAATTGTCATACGCAGTGGCAACAAAAACTAAACCATACAATGGGAATAATCAAATCCAACAGCCAATTACAAAGGCAAAAAAAAAAAAAAAAACAATAACAATATGTACTTGCCGTGTAAGTACCCATCCGGGCGCTAGCGGCAATGCAACTGCACAAAAGCTGATGGCTGAAGGGTGTGAAAAGTGGCAGCACGCGCCACCACCAGCAAAAACAAAAGCGGGATAGAAAGGCGTACATGCAGGCATACAAAAGTGGTATGCAATATAAAAAAAATGCGTAAACACTGGCAATATGTCAAACGTCTATGGCCTGGGTTTTGTAATCATTACCTTAGACTTTGTTGTTCACGCATCATTGACAATATTTAGATATACACAGTGCGCTTTTCCTAGTCGCAATGTCACTTCCTCTCTTCTTTCCCTTTTTTTGTTTTTGTTGTAACTTATTTATGTACTTATACATTCTTCTGTTGTATAGTCTTTGTTTTTGTTGTTGTTTTGACAAGTGTCGCTTGTTTACTGAAGGATCTCTCTATTAAATATAAAGTACAACGCTACGTGCCTTGTCCAATGACTGAGATTAACTGTGAAATTGCGGCACACCTCGAGCGGTGATGGCCAGCGGCTGCTCCGGTTGGTTAGCGATGGGGGAGAGGTGCGAAAAATTAAGTGCGAAAAAGGGTTTGCTTTGTATACGCAAGTCTCGGTTACTGCGGGTAGCCGACGTTAGACAAAAGGGTGGAGAGTCACGTCGACAATTTCTAAATCAACAACTGTTTAAAAGTCGTCGTGCATTTGTTTGCCTAACTTGCGTAGTCTTCACCTCTCAAGTGGTGGTGTTGATGAATATTTATATGCCAGTGTTTGTGTGTGTGGCAGTCAAAAGGACAATAGACTGGTTATGTGTATTTTTCATTTGCGAAGCTCTCGTCGATGAATGGGGCGATAGACCCTTTGATATAAGTAAACTTTTGGCTGTTAGTTTTCGTGACTCTAATGTCAGTTAAGCCTAGTCTAAATCACTTATTTGATATTTTTCTACGTGCTTTATGCCTCAATTTTAATGTAGCTTATTTATTTTCAGGGGATCGCCTGCTAGACATACCTTGTAAAGTGTGCGGCGATCGAAGTTCCGGCAAACATTACGGCATCTACAGTTGTGATGGTAAGTGAATACGATTTCATGGCTCTTTTTAGGTAGTAAAATTTTTTAAAATCAAAAATGTACTTAGGCCACACTTTAAAGTAAAGCAAAAAAAAAAAAAACACATTTCAATTAAAACCAAATTTAACTAGTACGGCATTTCGGCATAGTTGTTATAGGGTTACATATTTTCTGAACTTAGTTCCTACATTCGACAATTAAAATAGTTCTACTGGAATAACCCAAATGCTTCATTAGAAAAGTTTTTGACGGCCTTTAAAAATACATACCCGTATTTTTACGTATTTTTGTAGCCCATTCAATTTTAGTACATTAAAGTGCCAATTTGAAATAGATAGGACGTATCGTTAACTTTTGAAAATTTTTTCTTAAAAAGTGTTCTCAGTGAGCTGAAATTAGTTTTACTTTCAACTTTATTTTGACCATACACATATCCTATTATATTTCACATTGAATCGTAAATTTTTATTTCTATATCCTTTTCCTATTTTACTATCTAGCTGATCTCTATATAAATGACTTCCCCTGTTTCATGCTCTTTCCTAGTGATTACAACAAATACATACATGACCGTTATTACATTTTATTGCTTTTAACTTAGTTCTAAGTAGTGTTGCGCAGTATCGATACCAAAAGAACTCAGAACTTGATTTCCAAAAGAACTCGAAAGTACTCAGAACTTAAAAGAACTCGAAAGCACTCAGTACTCACAAAAGAGCTCAAAAGTACTCAGAACTTAAAAGGACTCGAAAGTACTCAGTACTTAAAAATACTCTGTTCCAATCATCACTTTGATGCATGCACTCAGGATTGATTCAAAGTACTCAGTATTAAGTGACGAGTTTTATTTATATTTACCGGTATTCATAAATGATTGTACTCAATTTGAAGTTCCAATAGCTTTCAAGTACAATACTTGTACCCAGTAAAGTTAGCGATTCATTTGGCGTAATTTTGGATTAATATTTTAATTTGAATAAAGTGCTGAGATTTCTAAACTAAGCATTGAAATGTTACCAACACGTGTACATATAAGTATCTAAAGGAAGTACTCATTACTCTCGAAAATACCCGATTCTTATAAGTATCGATACTAAAGAACTCGATCCTCAAAAGTACTCGATCCTTGCCAACACTAGTTCTAAGTATTGCGAATTCACTGATAAAGCTATCCTCGAATCGGAAGGACTTTTTCTTCCTGACTTACCTATTTTAAATAAAATATAGCTGAGGAAGGACTATAAAAAACTTGGCCACTAATGGGTTAAAATATGGTCATCAATACGTTAAGTCAAAGTCGTAAATGGGTTAAATTATCCATAATTTGCATAATAATAGAATCAATTTAACGTAACATAAGACATTGCAAAAACCTGGGCCACCAATGGGTTAATGCATGATTCCATAATGGGTTAAGACGTCAAAAATTTACTCTTATACCGTAGTTCAAGCGAGTCTAATGGAAAGAAAATGATTTCAGAATTTTGAGCACCCGCTTATATGGGGCGGACCCAGTGTGGCTACGGTGTACGGTGAATTCTTTTTTCTGATAATATTCAAAGTGCATATATGTCATTCCCTGTAAAAGATGTACCTCTTGCTAAATGACTACATTTCACAAATCTGTGGAAAAATATAAAAAAAATTGAAAAACCCATAAAGCGGGGCCGAGCCGAGCGAAGCCACTCCGAGCTTTCAAATTAATGCAGCTATATGAAAGTGCTGATACATCAAGCTTTTTCAGAAGCATTTTTGAGCTGAAAGCAAAGCATTTTTTTGTTTTCAAAATTTCTTTTTGATTTTTCAGCGTCATGACTCTGATGCGAACAAAAAAAAAATCAAACTGATTAAATGAAAATCTATCTTTCGAGGAAAGTATTGATATAAATTGAAAAACTACGACCGATTACATGTAAAAAGCTCCGCTCCGCTACATTCGGTGTGAACACCAGCAGCTTCGCTTCGCCGCCTTGCCTCGCTCAGCGCCAGCGCTTTCTGTGTGCACGCACCCTAAGGAAATTTATACTTACACCCGTCACAAGGATCTGTCCCTCCAATCGCACTTTTAAATATTTTTAACTATTTCTATGAAGATTATATCATCTTAATTTTTTATGAGAACTAAAGCATATAGCATATATCGTCACTAGACACGAATAAAGGCGCGCTAGTATTTTGACGGCGAAAAAAGACGCGTAAAAAATTTGACCAAGAAACACGCTTAAGAAAAACATCGTCGAAGAAAGATGCATAAACATAGATTTATGCTTGGCAAAGATTGTCACTTCAGCATCATGTAGTGGTCCATATCAAACTTTAGTTCCTTATTTTAATGCCACTTTCTTAGATCCTTGCCTCATTTCAACTGAAATTAACAATTCTTCTCCCACAGGTTGTTCCGGCTTCTTCAAACGCAGCATTCATCGGAATCGCATTTACACCTGCAAAGCAACTGGCGACCTAAAAGGTCGCTGCCCCGTTGACAAAACGCATCGCAATCAATGTCGTGCTTGTCGGCTGGCTAAATGCTTTCAATCGGCCATGAATAAAGATGGTGAGTACCAAGTAAATTTCTTTGTCTATTACATACTTAAATACATACATACATGTCTATTCAAGTAGTTGGAAGGAGTATAATTTTTGAAATAATACAAATCAGCAAAGAAAAATAACGAAAATTGCCAAATGAGTCGAAAAGAACGCAAGCACAGTTGCCATTATTTTCGATTTAACACTTACATTATTTATTTTGATTGCTAATTTTACGCAATTACAAGACTAAATGATATTCGACGCTCCCTCTGGGATGAAATCGATTTTTTTTTTTTTAACTCTAGAATAGATAAATAGATACTAAAATGAGACACGGACTTTGTCCGAATAGCTCTAATGTGTCTTGGTTGTGGCTATTTCTTCCTACAGGGCGAGAGAATGATGTATGTTAGGACGAGTTTCTGTCATTTACTGTTTAATCAAATTTTGGTCTATTGTGGCCAGAACTATTTTCTGGTCGTGTTCCGATCTATTGCCGAGAATGGCTGAGTCGCAGTTGGGTTTGGGCCTGCTGCCTCTGTGGAGAAGCCTCGAAAGAGCTCTTTGTTTGGAAGGGCAGGTTTTCTTAAGTATTTTGAATCGAATCGAACTTCTTGAAACGAGCCAAAAGAGTTTTTAAATTGGTATTTCAGAAACTCCCTATGTAAAATTTTCTAGAGATACATGATAGATAAGATCCCTTTTTCATGAACTTCTTCAGAGGCATTATTTCAAGGTAATTTTAACCCTTAAAATACTTAAAAACCAATTCAGATCCACACATCAACGCACTTGTCATTTCGTACAGCGCTAGCTTCAAAGCTCTTAAGCCAATATTAAATGTAGCATAAAAATACAAAACCGATTAGAGGTTGAAGTTCGACAATTCACAATCCACAGCACATTCACACTTACGCACTACAGTTCATTTGAAGCATTAAAAAAAAAATGGGCAAAAGCCAGGCAGGCAACCAACCGGGCAGCCACTTCAAAACGACCGCTCCATCCCTCTGATCGTAAAATGAAAGGCAACAAATTCAAATGCGAGCTTTATGTGTTGTACGCTGAGAGCATCGTGAGAAATCCAACACATTTTCGGAGCATTTTAAACATGCAACAATGGCAACAACAGCAGCAATAATGACAACAAATTGTAACAATACTGTGGCAATAACAATAGCAACAGCAAACGCTGGCATTGAGGAGGACCGTAAAGCAATAACAACAACTTCCGCTTGATTGCCAGCTTGGCGAACTTGGAAATAGCCAAGCTGGGTGGACTGGACAACTTGGACAACTGCTCGGTGCGGAGTGCCAATGAAGGCGTGTCAATCGCTTGCTCGACGCATAATAGCGGATTACATGCATTATCCTTGCAACTCCGGGCACTAAATCGCACTAAATGTGTATTGACAATCAGAAATGATTATCCTGTCATTGTCAAATCGCTTGAATGGTTGGTATTGCCGATGCCGATGCTGCTGCTGCTGCTGCTGCTGCTGCTGCTGCTGCTGTAATGATGCTTGAAGCCAATTGAACTGAGGGAGCGTGCGCTTGTAGGTATGTGTGAAATTTAGAGAGCATAGATGTGAGTCTTTGACATTTCGCTATGTACTTGGGTACTTTTTTTCTTGGTATTTCGCATGCCGGGGGGCTTTTGTGGCGATTTACCGGCGTCTTTTTGGCACTAAATGATGGAGCCTTTACGGCATTTGGGAGACTTTCTTGACTAAGCTGACATAAAAATGTGCGAAAATACTTGCGCTACAGCTGCGGCCAGATTTTTAAGAACAGCGCGAAGCGAATAAAGATACAATTCTTCAAAGATATTTCAATACAACTGCGATGATTTTCCTAACTAGGCTAAAAATGCTTAATTTGATGTTAGGTCCCTTTGGGCGGTTGCGTCCCGTTGGATAACCAATTTGTGTGATGGAAAATCTTGAGGGCCGAATTCCGCCACAGCCAGATGGAGTCAGCTTAGTGAGCAACGCAGATGATTGCACAATAGGGTGTTCCAAAAATGTACGTGAAAAAGTGAAGTTGGAATTTTTATGCTCTCACCCCCTAGGATTTTTCTATACCGAAAATAAAAATTAATTATATTTTTTTTTTTTTGAAATCAAAAAATATTTAGAGGTCGTTCAGAAGTTTCCATGTATTTTATATGGAGAAAAAAAAATTTCGTAGAAATTGAATAGAATTCTTGAAAATTAATTTTTTTCGATGGCGAAGCTCTGGTTCTCTTCGGGAGACTTCCAATAATAATACCCAATTGCTTATTTAACCATTTTTTATAGTAACTATATTTTATAGGTCCGCCAAAAATCCCTACAAATGCTGTGGGGGGACCAATAAGAAATCTTTAGTATAAACAATTTTTTAAATAAAAAATTGGGTATTATTATTGAAAGTCTACCGAAGAGAACCAGAGTTCTGCAATCGAAAAATAATAACTTTCAAGAATTCTATACCATTTCTACTAAAAGTTGTTGTTTTGGTTTCAAAAAAAAAAAAATATATTGGTAATTTTCCTTCGGTATAGAACAAACAATAAAAACGAAGGAAGCCTCAATATCTTCTAGTAGCGTAGAGTGACTGACGGCCCAGAGTAACCACGACTTTGCATCTTTTGGAAGTAATTCATATCGGCTTCGTGATTCGTGAAGGCAACGCGATGGTTCCATCACATTGAGGATTGAAAAGAAAGGCTTTAAAGCTTTGAAACGGCGCAGCAATGGACCAAATTGAACAAATTGAATTGGCAACAATCGCAACTCAAACTGTCCTAGGTTGTCCGGTCGTCGGTGAAAAATCAGCAAGTCTCTCTGAAAATGTTTTGGGGAGTATGGCATTTTTCGCGAAATGGCAATGTTGCGAACAAAGTTGTATTAACGACCTATCGCAACTCCGGATTGCAAATGTAAATTTTTTTTTTTAAATATCGCGCGTTAGAGAAATGTAAAAGTTTTTACAATTATATTTCGAGGCGGCGTTAACTGATTTACTTTTTCTGGAAGTATTTGAAGACAATAATAAAAACATGTGTTTCGCGACTTTGACTTTGCAATGACTGCCAGCTCAAATACTAAGGCAATGTCGCAATTTTGTCGCAAGAAAGTTTCCATATAAAAGTAATCAGCTGTGTGGCAAATTTTGCGACAAATGCGACATTTGCAACAACTTTGCGACGTTTCGTGAATTCCGCTAGTATGCATGAATTTACTCCTACTGTCTTGACTCGCCATTTTCTGCGTATTTGCTCTTCTTGCCATGAACTTTTGTATGTATGTAGGCCTGAAAAATAGTATACAGTTTAAGAAGGAAAAAAAACATAGCGCAAAAAAGTATGCTAGGTAAACAAACACCATCTCTCTAATACCGGGGAGAAACAATAACAAAAGGCAACCAACAACTGGAAATTCGTATCGCTTACAAAACAATAGCTGTGGCAACTGGCAAAAGCCCAAAACAAAACAACATCTAACACGTACTACTTAGGCGCGCATCCCATACGTTTTGCCCTATGCACAACATATGTACACACATACATACATACATATGTACTTAGTTGCCTTTTTGCCACCGCTTTGTGTTGCCATTTTATTTTCTTATGTTTTGTGTTTTGTTACTTTTTGGCACTTCAAAACTCTGGTGGTACACACTCTGAAATTGTTGTTATTTTCTGGTTGTTGCGGCATTAATAAACACATACTCATCATCCGCACTTTTTTCAAGGCACATTTGAGGATACATACTTACAAACATATGTATGTACATATGTATATGCATAAATGCATGCTCTATGTCTCGCAAAATTTATTTATTTACATATGTACTTACTTTTGTTGGCGAATAGTTTTAAGGAAATCCCACACCTTAGGCCGTTTTTGTGGCGCAAGTAGCATAAAGGCAAAAGCACCAAAATAGCTGGCGGTAAGGAACAAAGTGGAGGAGAGTTCTAATTTTTGCGAGCAATTTTCGCACAACTATTTTTTAAATTGTGAATTTTTTGGTGACCGCTGTGGCTGAGTGGTTAGACCACTACCACTTTTTTCCGTTCGAAGGCGGCGTAAAACTGTGAGCTCGAAAATATTATTTTTTGTTTATTTTATTTCAATTGTGAAGTAATTAATCTGTGTTGTTAGTCCTTCCATCGATGAGATAATAAAATAAATGGAGAAAGGCCTATATCTTCGAATCAGACGAAAATTTTACCATTCCCATGGCAGCCAATTCTACGTACTGGAATTACTCGAGTTTTTCTCGATGAAGGGCTGATTTTTCGGTGACATAACCCCATTTATATCGGCGAACAAATTGGGCATTGAGCCCAATTCCCGACCTGACAACTACTTCTGTTGCGTCTGCCAGAGACGACTTCATCCGAACTCCACTTCGACTGGGTGCCGCATCTATGACACTTCTCTCACCCTCCAAATCGTGACCATTCCGCCAAGGTACACGAAACTCCTACAGTTGAGTTGCAACGGCCGCCAGAGCAAGATCGAAGAGATAACCGTCTTTATGGGTTGGCATGCGATCCGAGAAACGAAGTTGCACAGTAAAGACGGCCAGCGGGATAATGGTGGACGACTAGCGTTCATCCTACATCGCACTGTGCAGTATCGTCTAATTGAGGAAAACATCGACCGCAGGGATACCATCCTAGAATGTCAGGGCATAGCTGACCGACCAGGCGATGTCGAGTTTGAAATATTTATCATTTATCATCAACTACTTCCAAAATAGGATTCTGCTATGCGACACGCAAACTGGCCTCGTAGAATACGCAGTTTCAAGCGGTGTACCTCAGGGATCGGTACTGGGACCACTCCTTCCACTGCTGCCATCGTTTTGGCTTACACCGATGGCCCTTGCGCTGGTCGAGCAGAAAACAGAGCTTCTTCTAATAAGCAAACGGAAAATCAGAGAGCAGGCAGAAATAAGAGTTAAAGAATCCACTGTGCAGTCGAAACCCTCACTCAAGTACCTAGGCATCAAATTCGACTCGACGCTGAA